TGTCTTAAGAAGAGCATGAAAGTGTCCACTAAAGACATATGCACCAGGGCTCGGAAGTTGGCTCAGTGGTAGAGCACTTGCCTTGCATGCCTAAGGCTCTGGGTTCGATTCCTCAGCACCACATAAGCAAAAAGAAAAAAGCCGGAAGTGGCGCTGTGGCTGAAGTGATAGAGCGCTAGCTTGAGCTGAAGAGCTAAGGGACAGCGCCCTGGCCCAGAGTTCAGGCCCCATGACCGGACCTCCCCCCCCCCAAAAAAAAACATATGCACTGTGCATTAGAAGGCAGATCAACAGTATAAAAGAAATTTATATCTAGGTTAATATGCTTATAGATCACATAAAAACTAAAGCTGGTACAAATGATTGTTGAAAAATTGAAACCAAAAAAGGAAAACATGCCACCTGTTCAGTAAAAGTAATTATCACTGAAATACAATTGGGGATACATAAACTATTTTTCTATTAATGTACCTTAAAGATATATTAGGACTCCATTGAGTATTTGTAGTCTACCTCATTTATTTACAGATGCAAACACATGTATGTTATGAACAGTATTTTCACACAAAGTTATAGAGATAAAACATATACAACACATATTTTTGTTTTATAATATTTCAATAATGGTTGTCAAATGGCATGTTTCCCTTTATCCAAATAATTAGCATACCTTGTACAATGACTTGCAATTTGAGTTTGAACCTGCTTTGGCCAAAGGTACATCAGGAATGATGATATAAACACAGATTGAGAAGTCCCTCACTTTCCTAAGTAGTCATATTAAGAACCGTGACCATGCTGCTGGAGACACAACAGGGCCTAATAAAGATGCAAGATAAAATGCTGGTCAGAGGAGTGACAAAATCCCAGTCAACCATCCCAGCCAAGGCACCAGTAGATTGAAGTCTTATGTGTTACTAAACAATATTAACAGAAAATACACCCCCCAAAAAATGTAGATCCATCAAAATTAAAACCAACAAATTATGTCACAATGTGCTTTTGCTTGTACTTTTTGATTGATTACACAGGATATTCTATTATCCAGAGTACTGGAGTCGTTTTTACAATTACGTAGAATGGTAATTGTTAATATAAAATACATGACCTTTACAGTGACATATACAAAAATTGAAAATTTATACTGTATACATCATTGAGGTTGTTTTTGCTCAGAAAGACAATAAGAATCCTTTAAAAGCAATACTTGCACATTACTACTGGGTTTTTCAGTCTGAAGAATGTTTTCTTACTGTGAAAACCTTAAAAGAATTTATTATAGACTAAGTGTTCACATTCACGATACTTATTATCAAGAGTGTTACAGATTTGGGCCTGGGAATGTGGCTCAGTGGTAGAGCGCTTGCCTTGTATGCTCAAGGCCCTAGGTTCGATTCCTCAGCACCACATAAACAAAAAAGAAAAAAGCCAGAAGTGGCACTGTGGCTCAAGTGGTAGAGCGCTAGCCTTGAGCTGAAGAGGTGAGGGACAGCACCCAGGCCCAGAGTTCAGGCTCCACGACTGGACCAAAAAAAAAAAAAAAAGAGTGTTACAGATTTGAAGGTGGGGTCATTTTCTGTGTGTTTTGGGATTTGGACTGTCCTCATACACCTTAGTGACAGAACATCCTGCCTTAAAAATGTCAAGTTTTCTATATCATATTATTTCATTAGAATATAATCTGAATTTTAAAAAGACCATTGTAACTGGGCTATCATGTCTAATAGCTGTAATCTTAGGTATTCAGAAGGCTGAAATCTGAGGAAAGTTAGTATTATCCTCACCTTTAGTCCTCAGCTCCTCCCAGACCTGAGCTCCTCCCAGACCTAGAGTTCCCTCCACACAGCTGGCCACTCCCTCTCTCATCTCAGACTCACCTGAGCAAGTACTTAACTCACTTCCTGCCCCCCAGATCCTGTTGCAACCTGAAGAGGGACAAATGCTTGTGCTCCCTCTCCTGGGAAATATGGTCCTTCTAATAAACCTTATAATAATCTTTCTCCTGTGCCTGCTTGTGGTCCCATGGGATGGACATGAAGGAACCCTACAAGGATCACTGATTGAAGCCAGGGGGATATGAAAGTCTGAGAGACTTATCTCCAATACACTAGCAAAGGAGTGCGCGCAGTGCAAATGTGGCTTAAGTGGTAGAACATTACCATTGAACCAAATAATTTCAAGGTCAGTTTCCAGACCTTCAGTTAAAGAATCAGGACAGGCAGACACATATTAAGGGCATTGTATTGTATTCAAATTATATTTTAACAATTGTTTTTGCTGTACATGTATAGGAAATCTCTCTCATTTTTTTTGTCAGTGTGGGGCCTGAACTCTGAATCTGGGCACTGTCCCTCTGACCTTCAGCTCAAAGCTAGCACTCTACTACTTGAGCCACACTACACTGCTGGCTTTTTCTGCTTATGTGGGTCTGAAGAATCAAACCCAGGGCTTCATTCACACAAGGCAATCACTCTACCACTGAACAACCTGTCCAGCTAGGCTCTCCCATTTTAAGTGATGTAAAATAGGCTAATTATATTAGTGGAGAAATTGTAATTTGTAAGAACAGACACATCAATTGGAGTATATCTGTGCCAGCAGCATTTTGAAATTTTGAAAGCCATAGGAAGTGCAGAGGATGAAAAGAGGATCAATATGTTTATATAAGAAATATTCAAGGAATGTTACCATTCATTGGCTTCAATTCACAAAAAGCAAGTTTATAATGTCACTTTGTTGAGTACCAGAATCTCTAGGTTCAGGAGTATAAACACACAACCCCTGACTCTCCTTGACTCGAAACTCAGTGGTTTGTGAGCCAGTTTCTGTCACCTGGAGGAACAAGTACTAATAGCAGCACAAACCCATGAGCCCATAAAATATCATCCATCCCAGAATGGGGAAAGATGGGAAGGGCAGACTGGCTAGGAGCCTCAGCTCACTTCCAGTTACAGCTCCCAAGTTCCCCTGAAAAAGAGAAGCTGGGCTTCTACATCATGGCTCTGACTCTGGAGTGCAAAGCTGTACTTCAGGGCACTTCTAGCAGCAAGGGAAAAGCAAAGTAACCGCCATTTGCAAACTGAAAACATCAACGGTGGGCAAGGAGGCACCAGCGCCTCTTCCTCTCCCCTCCCCTCAGGCCACACACACTTCACAGGATCTATGCCCCGTTTAAACTACAATTCCCAGAATGGATGCACAATTCACCTAGAGGCAGTGGGCTTGTTACAGGGTTTTGACTGGCACAAGACACTTGGTCCTAAGTGTGCAAGGAAACATGGGGACCTTTCTCTCCCAGCTGCGGGAACTTTGGTGAGTTTCTTCTTGAAAATTCAGTTTACCAACATAAATATTGTGAGACCAATTAAAAACACAAATGTATTAGGAGCACCGCATAATTTGGCTTATTAATTCTTAGTTCTTTTAATATAATTGAGGTTATGAAACTACATAGTTTTATTCTTGTTTTTGTTCAAAAAGTACATTCTGCTGAATGCAAATTATGTCTTTGTTTTTCCTTAAGGTTTTTAATATCTCCCCTTTCACTTTACAAAGGTATTTGCAGCTGGGTGCCAATGGCTCATGCCTGTACTCCTAGGTACTCAGCAAGCCGAGATATGAGGATCCCAGTTCAAAGCCAGCCTGGGCAGGAAAGTTCATAAGCCTTATCTTCAACTAACTACCAAAACAATGGAAGTGGCCTTGTGGCTCAAGTGGTAGAGAGCTCACTTTGAGCTGAAAAACGCAGGGACACTGCTCAGGCTGGGTTCAAGCCACAAGATCGACCAAAAAAAAAAAAAAGTACTTGCAGACAGTAAACTGATTGATTCTGGCATCATCTTCCTCTGCCCTAATATATATACTGGAATAAAATAACAGAATTTAAAGACAGACATACTTTATAATCTTTGAATTAAAAAAATCACAATAAACACCTAAGAGACAAGTGTAGGTTCTCTTTTAAGAGAGAGGGAGACTGTTGTAGACCCTGGGGTGCCTGCCAGGAGCAGAGAAAATGTGACCAAAGGCTTCAGTGCCATTGACTCCCACCCTCAGGACTGCAAGTCCTTGTCCTTTCTTGGTTTGAGGAAGTGTGTGTTCTACCTTTTGGCCTGGGGCTTTAAATGACAGGAGGCTTAGGTGGAAAAGATGTATTGAAATAGAATGAGGAAAGATGTGTGCTGTTTGCACTTTTGGGCACAGTGGGTCTAGACCAATATTACACAAGCATTTGAGAATTATAGCATAATTGTGCCATCCTTAAATGAAATACAAAATTCAGAAAAAAAACAAAAACTCATTAGATTTAATAGATAGAATTGGGGAGTTTCTGGAAAATTAATTGTTAGATTTTGTGAAATCCAAATCACCAGAAGTATTATGCTGCATATTTACATAACAATCTCACTATTTTATGCCAGTGTATACATTACAGCAATGGGAAATGACCCAGGTATAAGTTTAGTGGTTGTGAATACCTTTGTAAAGTAAGAGGTGATGTATTAAAAAAATTTAAGACAAAACAGAGATATAATTTACATTCAGCAGAAGGCAGGCATTGAATAAACACAATGGTATAAGCAATGCCGTCTCATAACCTCAATTTCATTATTAGAACTAAGAATCGAAAAGCCAATGTAGCCAATTCTCCCCATGTATATCCATTGTCTGGTTGGTCTTATGTATTTCAAGAGGAAATAGTGGTTTTCAAGAAACTGAGCTTAACTTCCACAGCAGGCAGAGAAAAGTCCCAATGCACACAAGCACACTTGTTCCCAGGTATGTAGGAGGGTGGCACCGAGCATTGTGGGAATTGTAGTCTCCTTGGAGGATATTTTCTTTGAAAGTCCTGGGTTGTTTTTGTTTTTTGGAGGGTGGAGGTGGGGCAGAAGATGCTTTTGCACCTGCGTCAACCCGCCCACCACCGGCGTTTTAAGGCTGCGTCTTCCGGATTCTTTTCCTTTGCCTTGCTGCTGGAAGTGCACAGAAATACAGTTTTGCCTTCCATAGGTGGGAGCCAGGAGGCCGGTGCTCAGCTCTGTGCAGTGGAGCTTGGGAGCTGTAACTCGAAGGAATCTCAGGCTTTGGAACTGATGTCAGGTAGAAATTGTGTGATTGCTGCAGGCGTCTCCCCTCCACGGGTTTCTGTTTTTCTGTTTCTGTTTGTTTGGTGGGGGGTGAACTCTGGGGCTGAAAGCAACATTCCTGAGCTCCTCAGCTCAGAGGGAGAGCTTGATACTTGAACCAAAGCGCATACTTCCCTCTCCATACTTTTCTCCAGTATGGAGTTGATAATTTGCTTGAGGTTCAAATGTGTGAGAGCAAGCTGGGTGATTGTCCAGAGAGCCCAAGAATTGTGCATTTGTACTCCAAGACCAAGGGATTCTTCTATTAACTCATGTGACTTTATATGCTTTGCCTAGGTGTAAGAGGAGTACAGGAAGAATTCTAGTGAAATTGTGAGGTGTATGCCTGCCTTGATTCCTCTTACATTGAAGTTTTATTTGGCGATTTTGTGTTTTTTCTCCTAGAGATATTTTAGTCTGTTTGGCTTGAGTTTTTAATCTCCTGGCTTGAGTTCACACTTGTTTGTGTTTGACCCTGTTTCTAGAGACAGTTGTACATGGGATATTGGAGTAGTGAGTGCTGGTTCTGTATTTTTAGGAATGAAGCCTAGCAATGTTTGAAGCAGAGCACCCTATGAATAGGAATCTCCATCCTAAATGGACAGACCTTGTCAATTCTGAGAAGCCCTAAAGGGAAGAAGCAGAAAAGCAAGGAAGGGGAAGATGTTGCTAGCTTCCTTTGCCTTATGCAAAAATTGTTGCTACTTCCCTGAGCACCAGATTCACGTGGTACTCTTTCCTACAGCACTCTCAATCACTTTGTGTTGTTGCAAGATTAAACTAATTTCTAGGAGGGGTGATGAGCTGGATTGAGGAATAAGCCAGAGCATAGTTATGAGAGGGTACCTGAGTCTGTGGTTTGGGATGGTGGGGTAATTGTTATGACTGAAAGTATCTATTCTTGTAGTAATCCCTAATCCTGTTTTTGCTAATTTATTCATCCTTTTAACACTGTTATTTTTAGTATGTAATCATGCAAACTTACTTTAAGTGTGCCATCTATGGATTTGTTAATGCTAGGTCTAATCAGTTGGTTGTGCCTGGTAGTACAGAAAGTGTTGGTCTGGGACATATGGCCTAAAAAGAAAATTCACAGAAAACAACTTGAGGTAATATGTCTTACTCAAGATTGTATGCTTTGTAGTTGTTACTTATCTTCAGGTGTGTCACGCCTATATCGATTATTTTATGTTGTATCTTTAGGATGGCCAAGGTTCTTCGCATGACTGTTTAGGGAAATGAACGTTAGGGACTTCTCAAACCTGGGTTACCTCATCTTTACTCATGGTCCTTTGGACAAAGCATTTTAAATGGCAAATTGCTAATCATTGCATATGTGTGCAATGGGTAGAGTGAAATGTGCCATTTGACACCCATTATTGTAATAGTATAACATGAGAAATATATTCTTTTTTTTTTGTCGGTCATGGGGCTTGAACTCTAGGCCTGGGCGATGTCCCTCAGCTCTTCAGTTCAAGGCGAGCACTCTATCACTTGAGCTACAGCGGCTTTCTGCTGGTTTATTGGAGATAGGAGTCTCATGGTCTCTCCTGCCCGGGCTGGCTTTGAATCGGGATCCTCAGATCTCAGCCTCCTGAGTAGCTAGGATTACAGGCGTGAGCCACCAGCGCCTGGCAGAAATATATTCTATATACATTTTTCTATCTAACTTTGGGTAAAAATTACTGAGTTACATCATACATGCTTTCCATGGTGTTTAAATATGTAAATGAATGAGGTAGAACACAAAATCCAATGGATTCCTAGGAAACTTTTGCATTAAAAAAGCAGTTCATGGGCTGGAAAGTTGGCTTAGTGGTAGAGTGCTGGCCTTGAATGCATGAGGCCCTGGGCTCGATTCCTCAGCACCACATAATCAGAAAAGGCTGGAAGTGGTACTGTGGCTCACTAGCCTTGAGCTGAAGAGCTGAGGGACAGCACCCAGGCCCAGAGTTCAGGCACCAGGACTGGCAAAAAAAAAAAAAAAGGAAAAAAAGGAGTTCATACATCCTGAAGTATATTCAGTAATAACGAATGAATTTTAGTGGAAATATATGATTTTGCTCTCAATTATTCAATAATTTCAGTGGGAACATTCATTTTTTCCAATTTAGTGTGTAATAAATATATAAATTAGTAGGTTTAATAATATTTATCTATCAGGAAATGGGCTGGATATGTGTTTATTAAACACTTTAATGCTCTGACTAAGACATTAAAAATTCTTAGCTTATAAGAAGGCTTTACGTATTCACAATAAAAAATAAATAAAAATTAAAAAGAGAAGGATTTACAGTTTTCCAGTCCATGTATCATGTTTGCAAGAGGAAATTCTGGACCCAAAATCTCACAGATTCATATCTGAATGCATCATTTCCCTTAAATCCCAGCCATGCTTCCAGAATCTTCTGCTCATTGTCAGCAGCAAGACAGAATGAATGGATCTCTGGTGAGTTAATTTTTTTATTTTTCATTTGTTTTCCATTCCACTATATCACCCTAATATGTCCAAGAATTAAAAACAATACCAACCACACAGATTCAGCCTCAGGAACATATTCAAAATTGGATAAAGAAGGCTTGTAAATTAGCAGATAAAGATTGCTTATAGGTTTAGCAGATTGAATGGTTATATTCTAAGTTGAATTCAGATTGGCTTCAGAATGTCTAGGTTTCAACTTGTCATAAAATGTAGTCACACCTGTTATGTGATGTAATGACACCGAGCAGGTTACTTCTCATGGAAGGTGAAGGATAGATTGCCACCTGATCACTTCCTCATGATTAACATTAAACTATCTCAATAAAATTTTCCTGGAATTGCTGAAATAGTGTGGTCATGCACACCTTCATGTGTTCTTAAGGAATGATTAACTTATATGTACTTAAATTACTCTCCATATATAGTTCTTGCACTGCTTCATGGTCTTGGTCTTATTAGAAACTTAGCTTATATTTGTTGCTAAGCTTTATGGTCTTTCTATACATTCCTGTTTGTTTTCTAAAGCATTTTCACAAGATTTCTTTCCTCTATTTTCTCTCTCCATTTTTGATTTTCTACTCACTATTGTTGGTTATTTTTCTTACTCTCTCTTTGTATCTATCTTTTATCTTTTTTTTTCTTTTTTCAATCCCTCTTTCCTCCATATGTATCTCAGTTGTTTCTTTTCTTCAAATGATCTATCTGGAACAAGATTTTCTTAGTGATCAGCTTTATGTTGGTGACATGGCTCTTAGGATTGACATTTTTCTTACCCATAATATAGGAAAATTGTTGCCTAGAGAGTTCTACAGGATTCCAGAAACAAAGAAAATTAGAGAAACACAAAAACATAAACAGATACACTTAGGGGAAACCAGGGTTTCGAAGGCGCTTTGGCACTTTGTCCCTGGGTGCCAGCAAGCTAGCATAGTTCCTTGAGTTCACACAGGGAAGATTACCATTCATAACATGCAAAATTGAAGTATCTATATTAATAGTATAATCAGAGCCACAACAGGTTGTGAGGAAAACATGTTTCCTTATTCTCCTGAGACAGAAGACTGGCTTCAAGAGAAAATGCAGACATGGAGTTCACCTTACATAGCCTTCAAGGTCAACAGCAGCTCAGTTTCAGAGGCTATCTTTCCAACAGTATGGAAAAAGCCTGTACTCCAGTCTCTTAACCCTCTCCAGAATTCTCTTTTAACCCTTCTGCCGCCAGCTCTCAGTTCTCTCAGTGGTGTCAGGCTGGAATTCCAACCTCTCAAACCTTTTCCCCTTCAGCTCAACTTCAGAGTTCCCTACAGAAAAGTACTTCCTTCTACCAATTGATACACTACAAGAAAATCTGTTTTCTCCAGATTTTGTGTTGTTCTAACTTCATTTCATGTGGTATTCAGTTTTGTTTTTCTTTCCCACTACTGTTGAATATTTTAATTCACTGCCAGTATAAGATTGGAACTAGTGTTGAAAAAAAATAATACAGTGACGAGATGTTCTCTATTAGAAATATCACTTGTCACAACATCTCACAGATGTTTGCTCATTAATTGATTTTGATCTCTGAGGTATTTCACTATTAACTAACACAAGTGAAAATATAACCTTAGAGATCTACTGGAGAAAGGACTCAGGAATATGTAATAATTTTGAGCATTTGGTCGTATTTATCATTTTTGTCATCTTGAGTGTTCCTTGAAGGGCTATTAAAATGAAAACCTTGTAAGGAACATGAAGGGCTATTAAAATGAAAACCTTGTAAGGAACATTTTTTTCCCTCCACCTTTATTTTATATTGTAGAATGTAGGCAAAGTTTACAAAATTTCATGGTAGCAGTTCTTTTTTACATGGGAAGGAAATATCAGGGTATCTATGACCATATTTCAATATTTAGCATTTAAACCAAACATTTTAAACCACACATATTTTTATGTGGGAACTCAATTAAATCTTTTAAGGGCCTAATCAATCATTAGTTACTTTCTGGAGTACTGTTACTGTTTTTTTTTTTAATATTCATGTAGACACTGCTTTTCATAGATCTAGCAATGTTCTATGTTCTGTATTCCATGTGATATCCTGAATGTGTGCTGCTTATTTTTGAGAGTACTTGTTAATAGAAGGTCTAAATAGGATTTATGGTGAAGCAGTATGTGTCAAACACGAAAAATATTGGTTTAATTCATTTTTACCCTGGTATGTACTGAAATTTTATCAAAAATAATAATATAATTTATCAGACACCTCCTTAGACTTAATGTTATCATGCCAGATTATTGTCTCCTTAGAGTTTTTATCTTGTCTCTACTGCTAGCAGCAGAAATGTGATTGCATGCATTATGGAAACTAATTTTTTATTGGTCTTGGGGCTTGAATTCTGGGTCTGTTTATTTTCCCTCAGCTCTTCAGGTCAAGGTGAGTGCTACCACTTGAGTGACAGTGCTACTTTCATTTTCTGGTGGTTTATTGGAGATAAGTGTCTCATGGACTTTCCTGCCTGGGCTGGCCTTCAACCTTGATCCTCAGACCTCAGCCTCCTGAATAGCTAGGATTACAGGCATAAGCCACCAGCGCCCTGCAAATCTGTGTATTGTAATGAACAGGTTTATGTATTGTCAAATATTTCTAGTTTGGTATTTAATTCTCCCAGTGAATAGTTAACAAAGCTAGCTGCAAACATTTTATGTAAGACAAAAGCATTCCTGCAACATAATGAAATTCCAGGTTGGAATTCTCATGACCCAGGTCTAATTTCTTGATGGAAATGTGCCATTATAGAAGCTGATGTCATTTGATGATGTGGCTGTGAACTTCACCTGGAAGGAGTGGCAGGATCTGGATTCTGGTCAGAGGACCCTTCATAGAGATATAATGCTGGAGACCTATAGCAACCTCATGTCCTTCGGTGAGCAAAGGTTATTTTCACTTGGAAGATCAAGTGCTTTTATTTTAGTAGACATTAGACTATTTATGCTATTTATGGAGAAGATTCCAGTCCATTCCCATGTAAAAAACTGCTAGTATATAAGCCAGTCAAATTTGAGTCTGATAGCTTGGTGTTGTTGGTCTTTCACACTAATGCTTGAGCCACAATTCTATTTTAGCTTTTGTTTTGGGGTATATTCTGAGTTTCCGTGCCCAGGTTGGTTTCAAGCCTGCCTCTTCTGATCTCACCTCCTAACTGTAGGATTACAGGTGTAAGCATTTGGACCATTACAATTTCTAAAAAAAAAAAAAAAAAAAAAAAAGATCCAGGCCATGGGAAGTGTTATTTTTTTCTAAGGGAAACTTCAACTTCATTATATGTAACACAAGAGTTAATTTTATTCTCGTTCTTTAAGAAGGCAAATCAATAGTTGGACAAAAGTTCTAAGCTATGATCCACTAACAGGAGACTGACTTCCCAGACTTGGGTAATTATTGTAGGTGGATCTACAGTCTAGAATAGAACATACATTACTACTTACAGTATGCTCTGGAAATCAATAAGTAAAAGTGTGTATTTGTAAGCCAAACCTGCTACAGGATTTAGTGCTCCAAGCTACCAATCCTATATACTCCAGAGGCTGACACCTGAAGGTTTCCGTTTGAAACCAGCAGATGTAGAAAATTGACCATGAGACTCTTATCTCCAATTAACCATTCAAAAACTAGAAATGTAGCCAAGACTCAAACTAGTAGAATGATATCTTTTAGCAAAAGAGCTGAGTTCAAGCCACACAGTTGGCAAAATAAACCCAAAGCTGGATGCTACTCCACCATGGAGCTGTTAAGAATTGAGAAACCATGGGCTGGGAAGGTGGCTCAGCGGCAGAGGAATTGCCTTCCATGCATGAGGCCCTGTGTTGGATTCCTCAGCACCACATAAGCAGGAAAAAAAAAAGCCGGAATTGGCGATGTGACTCATGTGATACAGTGCTAGCCTTGAGCTGAAGATCTGCCGGACTGTGCCCAGAACCAGAGTTTAGGCCCCAGAACTGGACCCCCAACCCCCAAAAAACAATTGAGGAACCAGATTTAGGACCAACCTTGTGAACAGGATGTCTGCGACCTTACGTTAATGATGACCTAGCAAGAGCAATAATTCTCCAGTATTTCTTAATCATAGGACACTGTGTACCTAAACCTAAATTGATTGTGATGCTGGAACAAGGTGCAGATCCCTGGATAAGAGAAGCCTCAGACAAGAATTTTACAGGTGAGTTAAAGCATCTTGAATGGTGATGATGGGTCCAGAGCCCAGTTGGTCTGTTTATCTTGAGCTGTACAGAGCAATACTATTCCTAGTGCCCCTCAGTCATGTGTGGCAGAGAACTAGGTGATCCTTTGTCTCAAGGAACTGTCAATCCAATATTCACATGGAGGCAAACTGACTTTGGTGTGCCAGTGTATTTAATGTTAGGAATTCATTGTCTGTAGAGAAGTAATTCTTTTTCTTTTTTTTGTCGGTCGTGGGACTTGAACTCTGGGCCTGGGCGCTGTCCCTCAGCTCTTCAGCTCAAGGCGAGCACTCTACCACTTGAGCTACAGCGCCACTTCCGGTTTTCTGGTTTTTTATTGGAGATAGGAGTCTCACGGTCTCCCCTGCCTGGGCTGGCTTTGAACTGTGATCCTCAGATCTCAGCCTCCTGAGTAGGTAGGATTACAGGCGTGAGCCACCAGCGCCCGGCAGAAGTCATTCTTAAAGAGAAAAAGACAATAAGAAATGTACAAAAGGAGATCTCATTTTCTTTTAAACCAGTATTATGCAGCTAGGAGGAAAATAGGAGAATGGTAGTGCTGCTATTCTCTCATCAGGACAATAGCTTATAAGTTGTTCTGGGCATAGAGTGAGATTCAGAATGGAAGCATTAAGAGTACGTTGATGAATAATTTCAGTAAATATTTCCTAGAAAAAAATAGAAAAATCTGAAATACACAAAAACATTATTTTCCATTTTAAAATGTCAGTACTACATTCATAGTTAGTACGTTGCAGAGACAAGATTATATTCTGCATAAAACAATGCTTTGATATTTGAAAATCTTGTAACAGTTAAAATGTGAGAAAATACCTTTACAGTAAGGAATTTATGGATCTCATTTATGTTTTTGTCTATTTTTCTGTTATGCATTTTAGATGTCCCAGTAATGGAGGATGTGATTAGCACCTGTCAGGAGAGTCACAATAAGTATCTCTCTGAAGTAGCAGTCATGAATATTAACCCAGAGGAGGTAAAAGTGAGACTTATAAGAAGTTTTAATTTGAGCTCAAAACAGAAGTTAGAACCGATTAAGAATAATGGGAACTCCTTAGGGATAAGGACAGAAAAGCTCACTGGGTGTCAGAACATGGGTGTTTTCAGTGAACCTGGTAAGATGTGTGCTGTACGTAGTCCCCAGGTGTCTTCTGTAGTTGAAGAATATAAACAATGTAAAAGGTCTTTCACTGAGAAAACACACCCTATTGTCCCTCAGAGAACACACACAGGAGAGAAACCATATGAAAGTAAAATGTGTGGAAAGATTTTCACCAGTAAGGCATACCTTACTGTCCACCAGAGAACACACACAGAAGAGAAACCTTTTGAATGTAACATTTGTGGAAAGTCTTTCACCTGCAAGACATATCTTACTGACCACCACAGAACACACACAGGAGAGAAACCTTATGAATGTAACATGTGTGGAAAGTCTTTCATCAAGAAATCAGACCTTACTGTACACCAGAGAACACACACAGGAGAGAAACCTTATGAATGTAATATGTGTGGAAAGTCTTTCACCAAGAAGTCACCTCTCACTGTCCATCAGAGAATACACACAGGAAAGAAACCTTATGAATGTAACATGTGTGGAAAGTCTTTCACCCAGAAGACAACTCTCACTTTCCACCAGAGAAGACACACAGGCGAGAAACCTTATGAATGTAACATGTGTGAAAAGTCTTTCACCAAGAAGTGAAACCTTACTGACCACCAGAGAACACACACAGGAGAGAAACCTTATGAATGTAATATGTGTGGAAAGTCTTTCACACATAAGTCACCCCTTACTATTCACCAGAGAACACACATAGGAAACAAATCTTATGAATGTAATGTGTGTGGAAAGTCTTTCACCCAGAAGCTGCACTTTACTGTCCACCACAGAACACACACAGGAGATAAACCTTATGAATGTAACATGTGTGGAAAGTCTTTCACCAATAAGTCAAACCTTACTGTCCACCAGAGAACACATGCAGGAATGAAACCTTATTAATGTAACGTGTGTGGAAAGTCTTTCACCAAGAAATCATACCTTACTGCCCATCAGAAAACACACAGGAAAGAAACCTTATGAATGTCATATGTGTTGAAATTATTTCAGCCAAGATCTATACATTACTGTCAACCAGAGAGCACACACAGGAGAGAAATTTTATGAAAGCAAGCTATGTGGAAAGTCTTTCACTCAGAACATACACCTTTCTGTCCATCAGAAAAAAACCTACCAGAGAGAAATGTTATGTATGTAGCAGGCATGGAAATTCTTTCACCTGGAAGGCACAACTTAACCTCCATCACAGAGCACAAGGAGAGAAACCTTATGAATGCAACCAGTGTGGAAAGACCTGGAGGTCACAGCTTAACACACATAAGTTGATTCACACAAATGAAATAACTTAGGATTTTACCAAATGGGAACGTCTTTGACTTGTAAGACACAGCTCAGGGTTCATCATAAAACACACAAAACACAGAGACACACACACACACACACACTCTCACAAACAAGGAGGAGAGAAATCCTATGTAGGAAAAATAAACGGAAAGGTTTTCAAGAAAAAGTCCTAACTCAGTTTGCATCAGAGAACAGACACAGGCGAGAATATACAAATGTAACAATTGTGGAAAGTCCTTTACCAAGTATTCATGGGTCCAAGTTCATAGGACGCACACAGCGAGTAATCTTAAAAATATTACAAATGTGAATAAGGGAAACCATAGGACCTATTATTTGCAATATCTAGTATATGTATGAGTCAAGCAGAAAAGGTCAGATAATGTGGTGTTAGGAAAATGAACCCTTAGCTATGTATTTAAATGTTTTCTTTTCTTTTCTTTTTTTTGTCGGTGGTGGGGCTTGAACTCTGGGCTTGGGCATTGTCCCTCAGCTCTTCAGCTCAAGGCGAGCACTCTCCCACTTGAGCCACAGTGCCACTTCCAGTTTTCTGGTGGTTTATTGGAGATGGGAGTCTCACGGTCTCTCCTGCCCGGGCTGGCTTTGAACCCCGATCCTCAGATCTCAGCCTCCTTTGTAGCTAGGATTACAGGCATGAGCCACCAGTGCCCAGCTGTTTTTCTTCTTTTCTTTCATGCATTTCTTTCTAATGCATTTATAAGATTATTTCTTTGTTGCTTTGTATGTCCCTCCCCCACAGTATAATTCCTGCTTTCACTATATTTGATGTCAGTATAATTTGTGGAGGAGAAGGGGAAAATCAAGTCATTTAAGCATACAGGTGAACCTGTTGCAACAATGAGAAGTACAAGTTGTCAAGTCGAAAATCAACTTTACAACTTTGGTGGGGGGGGGAGAATAGCGTGGTGGAGTGGGGGGAGGCTGGGAAGGGATGTGAAGGGTAAGCAAAGAAGGAGGCTGCAATGCTTGATAATGTACTCATTATCTTGCCCATGTAATTGTAACCCCTCTGTACAGTATGTTCACAAAAAAATAAAATAAAATGAAAAATATTACAAATGTGGAAATCCTTTGATCAGAAAGAAATACCTCATGTTCATCAGAGAACTGACTCACATAGGAGAAAAGAAAGTAGTGCATAGAACATATGTGAAATGACTTTCAATCAGAACTGAGTATTCAGCATATGTG